CCCCCCCCCCCCCCCCCGCCCCCCCCCCCCCCCCCGCCCCGCCTCACCCTCGCACTGTTTTGGAACGTGACGCCAGTGGGAGACCTACTAGTAATTTACATATATTGACTAAGTAGACGTTTCTGCAGAATGCCCCTTACAGGTCAGAGGTGACCTACAATAAGAAAACAAGCTATAAACACAAACAGGTATAGAGAGTAAATGAAATGCACCAGGGCTGCTGATGATGAATGGAGGCAGAAGCAGCCGCACAGCCTCACCCTAACACCATAAAGTCCTCACACAGTAACAGCACAACACATATGAAATGAAATGAAATTAAATTGAATTGCGTATACCCCACTTCAGCACATCAGGGCTAAAATAATGCCTGAAGATTTTGTAGGTTAATAGTTTCAGTTAGGCAAAATTTCTCAGAAATTCCTACAGTAGATAATAAGTAGATAGTAAATACTACTACTGCTACTAGTAATAATAATAATAATAATAATAATAATAATAATAATAATAATATTGACAGTAATAATAATATACAAGAACAGGCAGCTGGCTGTTCCCGGTGGAGACCAACACAGACCCTACTGTCCCCTGTCCCCTGCTGACTGGTGGCTGCTCCCACCCCTCTGTCCCCTGTCCCCATCCCTCCCTCCCTCTTGGCCCCCCTCCTCCTCCCTGGTGTGCCTGGCGGGGGCAGGGTCGCGTCGAGGAGCTCGCTCCCAGCCAGGCATAGGGCCGGCGGGGTCGGCCGTGACCCCAGCGGGCCGCTCACGCCGCAGAGTGCCTGTGTAATGAGGCCCGGTGTGGATATTGATATGACAGAACAAAAGGCCAAGGTACACAGTAAGGACAGCAATCCACACGATTCACACCATTTGTTTTTCTCACCGTATCCATCACATTAATGGGTCACCTTTCTGTGACAGCTCATGATTACCTGCTTACCCATGGAGAGGGGGGGGGGAGTAGACCCAGAGAAAGAGGAGCTGCGAGGTGTGAGGGTAAAGGGCGAGCTCGGGATCTTGAGGGGCCTGGAACACGTGGGTGTGGGTGGGGGGGGGGGGTTGCTCCATCACCGGCTTTTTATTCTCTCGTGGAGATTGGCTTCAGTGCTGTCACCAACCCCGCCGACTGAATTTATGACAGGTCAGATCTCCATGCAGTCACCTGATGGATGGAGAATATCCAAGTTTATTTGGGGCAGAGTGGAACCAGTGGTGCTCTGTCCCTACCCCCCTCCACCCCGAAGCCTGAGACCCTTGGACTAAAGAAGGCAGCCAGCTGATGTGGTCCTGGCAGGCCTCCTGCCGCAGCCAGCCAGGGGGACATCAGGCAAACCCACCAATTAGGAAGCCGGCTCTGGAAGCAGCCCAAATTATTATTTTATCTTTCCTTCTGGAAATTTCGTACCTTTTCATGCAGTGTGGGTCTATTTGTGCTGAGGCCCACAAACCCTCCGTGCTTAATTGTGTTCGGAAAGATCACTGGCTGTAAAGCCACGTCCTGGGGTGCAGTGGCCAGTGTGAAGAGCTTTCCGGAACCTTCCCCGAGGGGCCCCCGCTTGTCTGGAGAGTCAGGTCTGCTGAAAATCATAAGCTTCATGACAGAGTTTATTCTCATCATACGCCAGAAATCCCCAAGCCCCCCAACAGTGCGTCCGAGAAGGGCTGACTCATTATCTGCAGCGAGGTGAGTGGTACCCCCCCCCCTCCCCCCCACAGATGTGCTGGACGGGCTGCTCCCTCCGATTCAGCCGGCGTGCGATGTTCCCGTAGCGGGCGGGGCTGCCATAATTACCCACGCACGGCCCATTTGACAACATGCTCCGCTTCCCGCATTGTGTGCGTTGGTTTGCTGAGCTTTATCAGTGCTCGGTGAGCTGGATCCGAGCGAATCCGTTGCTGATATTTCACGGAGGGAAAAAAGAAAATGCGAATAAATAAAGAGAACGACTTGAGTAAGTGCTCAAAACTAATTGTAAAACAAGCCCTGTGATTGTAGCTTAATGATTAAGACAGTGACTGTGTCCAGCACGAAAGCGCTAACATCAAGCGACTGGTTTACACGTTACGTAAACCAGTCGTTTGGAAAAAAGATCGCTAAGGATGTGTGCTAATTCCTGAAGATCCCTTCACTTCCCGTTGGGCTTCACCACTAAAGGATAACATTGTTAATCCACCACTGTAGTCACCTTTGTCATAAAACACGGAGCAGAGACAGAGAAAACACCTTAATGCGGTCATAATGAATATCGCCGCCGAGTCATTTTTTCCACATCGGGCTTTTCAGTGCCACTTCACTCCCACGCCGCTGAAATTTCAAGAAGCTGACATCTCAAATGAGCCGGCCGTTGATTGATGTTATCCTCAGTCTACGGATACAAAAGGGGAAAAATGTAAACTATCCGGGAAAGAACATTTGGACCATTTTAAAACGGACTCAGATCAATTCCGCTTTCTTCCCGGGCCGCTAAACGCTGTCAGCATGAAGCGCGGAGATAACGTGACCCTTTCCACGGCTAAATAACAATGATACTGAAACATGCGGCCCTTAGTTCAGCATCTCTAGTGGCTGAATAAGGTGTCAGCATCAAAGACAGATCACTCCGTGCCAAATTAAAAGTCAGAAATGTCATTCTGCTCTCTAATTGCTTAGAGATGTTATTCGAGGAGAAAAAAGGGAAAACCATCTGAATTTGCACTTTTAAAAAATATCTACTGAAAGCCTCTTAGTGTATTTCTGTGAGGACCAGCCTTTGGAGGGAAAGAGAAATTGTAGGTTGTACCTATCATGGAGTCGCATTGCATTGTGGGATAACATAGCATGATTTTTCTGCAAGGGGAGCGAGCAACGTCAGTACTTTCAACACTGAGGGCAAGCATAAATCAGGGCAAGGGGGTAGAATTGCTGACAAGTTTTGCTATTAAAAAATAATTGTAATCAAGGTAGAGGCCAGCAGTGACGGGTATGTGGCAAAGAGATGGACAGCTGCGGGAGACGTATTGCTTTAATTTGCACCAATTAAATTGAAGTTCATTGGATCATCTTCCTCAATCTTCATGAATACTTTATTTTCAGGCCGCTATGAAGCCATTAAACAGAATGATTGTAGTCTGAGACCTATGTGTAATATTTTATGCTACGCATCCATTAAAGAATTTTAGAGTGAGGTTGTTGAGGACAAGTCAGAGAGGTGCAACTAAAACATGTTTTTTCTTTTTTAAAATATTTTGGTGAAACTTTATTATCTATAAAAGGTTTATAAAGAATTTATCAGTAAGTAATAAATGTTTGCAATCTCATTTGTAATTATTCCATAGACATTTACTCAGCTTTTATAAAGGTAGTGATTGTATGATGCTGGTAAATTGTATTGTACTCTATGCAGGTGCTAAGATATAATGAGTTCAGCAGCTAATGATATATAAATGAGCAAGTGAATATTTGACACGACTGGCGCTATGAGTAGCTATCGCAGGGCCTGATTAGACCAGCAACAGCTATGTACAACTACTGTTGTTATCATTGCCGTTAATACTAAATAATTGGGAATGCGAGCATGCAGGAAACATGGCCGTTAATACCCTCCACGCAGCAACTGAAAATGTAATTAAGCGCAGCCAGATTCCTGCAGCATAATGGCCGTCTGCGCAATTTGCATTTCATATTAATTTCCTGCGGCCTCATGTCATGTAGCAAGACTGTGCATGAATGCTCACAGAGGGAAAAACAAGGCTCCTAGCTGGGATTAAAGCTTCATTTCAAGGCTGAGGATTTGGGTCTCTGGCTATTTTATGCTCAAACAATGACTTTGAGGGCTGGGACACAATGACGGAACAACTGCGGGCCTGGCGGCCATCTTGGTGTCTAATTGTAGAGCTGTGGTTTATAAGAAGACCGACTGTATAACCTGTGACGACATGTTAATTAATCAGCCACGAGTGGGCGGGTTCTCGCTAACATAACTATGTTTGTTATGCCCACTAACTACACTCTGCCCTCGTGTCATGCTGCCTTGCAGTCACAAATAAAAATGTGCCCAGGGATGGGCATTCAAAATGTATTTTCAAAATACAGGAAATACTTTCCCCATGATATATGCATACACGAGGAGGAAGTTTAATTTTCTCATACATTTTAATGAATGGACATTACAGCCAATTGTTGATCACTTACCAGCTCCATTCAGGCCTATTCATGTTTAAAGTTTGTAAGATGTTGCTGAGTGAAAAGGTTTAACTTGTATTTGTCATTTGTCATTTTGTTGTTTGAGTTATTTGCATCTGTGGTGCAAAAAAGTAGTTTTGCCCATTAAATTACAAAAAAAGAAAATCTTTCTGTTTGTTAATATTACTTTTTCATTCGATTCACTTTATCTGAACACTTATATGAGTAGTTGAGATATATTTATGTTACTTCAGAATATTTGATCTTTTGTTTGGATTCACAATTATATTGAGTCTTCTTAAGCAATGAAAAAATATTAACACTTTGCTTAAGGTAATGTTTTTAATAATGAATAAACACATTTATAACATATGACAATGCATTCATAAAGCATTCTAAACATCCATCCATTCATTTTCTGAAACCGCTTGTCCTATTCAGGGTTGGAGAATCCGGAGCCTATCCAGGAGGCTACAGGTGCAAGGCAGGGAACGACCCAGGATGGGGCCCCAACCCATTGCAGGGCACAAGGCAGGGAACGACCCAGGATGGGGCCCCAACCCATTGCAGTTTGCATTATAAACATGGTTATAAATATTTATCAAAAGGCATAACACATTATAGGCACATTTATTACGCAATATGACTGCTTTACGAGACTCCCATCTATAATGCACTACAAATACCTTTACAATGCATTATAATGGTTGGATTAAGCATTAAGGACGCTTTATAACTGCATTATAAAGGTATCTATAGTGCATTATAGATGAGATCTTCAAAAGGCATTCACAATGCATAATAAACATGGCTATAATGTGTTATGCCTTTTTATAAATATGTATATCCATTTTATAATCCTTTATGAATCCATTATAATGCGTTGCAAATGTGTTTATAAATTCCTAAAAACATGGTCTTAAGTAAACTGTACAAAGAGCTGCTCTTATGCTTGGCCATTTGAGTCAGTATGCTTGTAAAGGAACAGGCTGATATAGAGCAGAAGTATGTGAAATGTATTTGTAAAATATAAAATACTGTTTATTTTGCTTAATTTATTTTGATACTTTGGTGGCTATATTTTATAGTTCGTTTTATACACTTACAAACAGGGTATTTTGTATTGAAATACATTTTGATGTATCTTTACCCGTCTCTCCCAATATGCATGATATGCTGCCATATCACGTACATTTCCAATTTCCTACATTTCAAAATAACTTTGAGAATTTTTTTTTTGTAACAAATTACTTGTAGAATAGACAAATTCTCAGAACGTTTTGCAGATTGACCAAATATTTTTGTTAGTCTTGTAACATCAATATTTGGCCTATTAAAAATTCCTCTCAAATTATCAGGAATTACATGGCAGAGTTTCTTTTAACCCTCTTCAAAATGCAGCATATTTTCAGGCATCTTGGCTGCTTTCTGGGTCACAATGGTAATCCGGCTTCAGCAAGGTCACATGGTCAAGATCCCATAGTCAAGGTCACATGGTAAAGGTCACATGGTAAAGGTCAATGAGCACTAATCACCCAGAGCTTAGAAATGAACACGGTGTAGCTGTTCATGGCGAGCCTTAAGTCTCCACTTGAGGAGTACAAAAACAAATCTTGATTCGCTGCATCTTTTTACATCAATGGCAGTTCAACAGCATCACGTTTTAAATACCCAGTGGAAAATACGAAAGGTCTCAATTCAGAGCCCCTCTCCCCAGTAAGCTGCCTGCTCCAACGCTGTTCCTGGATCAGCCATAATAAACATCAGCTCCGCTATTGACCTTTGAAGATTCATGGCATTACCGTTTCCATTTATTTCATTTAAAGGTAAATGTTCCCCACCAACATATCTAACGGGGAAAAAAATACAATGTAACATCTGGTTTATTTTCCTTAATGTGAGCTTATTTAACTTCATTTACCATATTAAATCAAATTAAACATGTAAATGAATTGAGTTATTTTGTTTGCATAAACAGTTTGGCATTTGGAGGGAAGAAACATCGGAATAAATAGTGTACGCATTGCCGGGTATCGTAAAGTTTATGATACATTAAAGCCAATGGCAATAGATTACCAGGCCTCTCAAAATGACACCTAGCTGCACCTGGTGAAGCCAGTCACCTGGTTAGGGTTTAAATGGCGCCAGCTGGGCGGATTGCGGGGGATTCAGAAAATGCTGGTGGTTACATGCGGTTACAGCCCTTCCCCAGGGGTGGATTTATTATTTCTGGGGTCCCTCTCAAAAAGTCACTTCAGGAACCATATCCTCCTCATGTAGTGACTGTTTGTAGCCAACAGGGGGCCCAAACCTCGGGGGCCCCACACAAATGTGTGGTTTGAGTGGCGGTAAACACAGCTGCTAGTGCCCCCCCTGTCCCTCCTGTCATACATTAGACTCATACTTACCGTTTCGATAGGCAAGGAAATAATCATTTACTTTACAGGAAAGTTACAGGACTATCTAAGAACATTGACTGTATCCCTAAAACCAGACAGATGGGTATTGAGTGAAGGAATCTGTGCCTCCTCCCCACACACACACACACATGCTTGCACATACAGTTGTGTAAACATATCTTTTTGGGGACCGCTCATTCATTTCTATGGGAAAAATTCTAATGCTAACTTTGACTATCTTAACCCCTACCCAAACCTAACCATAACCATACATAATCAAACAAAATACAAGACTTTTTGCATTTTTAGTTTTTCCATTGCAGTCACGGATTTTTATTAAATAAAGATTTCCCATATGGGGACCAGGAAACGTAGGTAAAAAAAACAAAAAAAAAAACAGGTATTCATCATGTTGGTCCCCACAAGGTAAGGTATACCTGGACCACACACACATACACAAAACTCAGTTGTGAGCCTCTTAACACCATCCCGGGGTGTAGTTGTTAATTACGTTCGCCTTTAACTTCATTTGCATGTCTGAACAAGGTGTAGGCATCAGTGTTCCCGCTGGAAACAGTACTGTAACCTGCTCAGGGGCTCCCTGGCCCCCGGCCAGAGAGGACCAGCAGCAGAGAGTCAGGCCAGCCCATTAGCTGTGCATTATGGCCTGGATCTTGCTGCTGTGCTGCTGCTATCCTGAAGGAGAAACCCGGCCAGCACCATCCAGGAATATGATTTATTCAAAACCTAAAATTAAAATGCAGCACGGTTCAGTACACGTTACAGACAAAGGAGCAAGACGATTCAAGGGAGATCGATATCAACGCCAACCTATTGTTTTAGTTATGAAAAAGGCAGGACCGGGGACATGCTAGTACTTAATTGGGTGATTCATTTAGTTTATTTACTGACTTTTCTTGTGACT